AATTGCAGTAAAACAATCTGTGGTCTTCTTGGTGCATGTAATGGGCTAACTATCTCCTGTGCATATTCTTGTGATCTAGAGTTTTGCTATAGGCAGCCTGTCTCTGTTTTTCCCTGTTCACATCCAACTTCACCCGGGCATTTCCTTGGTCAAAACCATCTCTCCTTGAAGTCTGAGGTTAGTAATATTTGGAGTTTATTTTATAAAACTTAAAATCCCATAGTCCGAACACAAGGTTTTCTCTTCCTCCTCTCAGCCCTTCCTGCCTGTGGCCTTTCCAGTCTTTCTTCTGCTTGGGCTGAATCTGCCCTAGGAGTCCCTGCCATGAGCAACTCCCATAGTCTGTGGGGCTGCCTTGCAGAAGCTTTTGCAGACTCCTCAGCATCCTGAGCTTCCTCCTTTCATTTAAGAGCTGCCTTTTGCAGCTCTTTATAGGTTAACCACCTTATATTCCTAATCTTCCCAGATGGGGCTCTTTCTGTAATCAGGGTTGGCTAGCCCTAACCCTCCCACCCTGAAGGGGCAAGCCACCCTATTATAGTATGAAAGGGATATTTTATGCATGAATTACTGTGTTGAGTGCCTTAAGTCTACACTGCCAATTGAGCAACAAAATTTAAACTCCCTTCTCCTCAAAAGATAAAAGATTTGCCAGGGCAAGTGGTAGTGTAAATAGCTTGTTGGCAGAAGAGCTCTTCTGTCAATAGCGCAAATCCCACTCAAGAGGGTGGAAGTATTTTGTCAGCAAAAATGACAAGCAACGTTTATACTGCCCAGCTTAGTGACACGACCACGTTGTTAAAAGCTGTATAGTGTAGACAAAACCTCTGTGAACCAGCTCCTCAACCAGCGCATCAAAGAACTCTTAAGAAGCCGCAGGATTTCAGACCTTTTTCTTGTGGCTTGTTTTTTATTTCTCCAAATAAAACAGTTCAACATAAGTTTAAAATGTAAACCATGTCCTTTACCCTGACCCTGATGTCTCCTGGTGGAGCTCATTTACTCCCTCCAGGTCTCACTCCTCAGACCCTCTGCTTGGCATTAAGGAGAGTCTCTGTTCCCTTCTGCTGGAGCTTTTTTCCAGCAGACTGGCTTCCAGCCAACTATGTTCAGGAGCTTTTCAACTATACATTTCTTTAGATTTATCAAAAACGTTCTGCAAGAACATTATCCATGTCAAATAAAAATTCAGTGGGAAGGTTTCTCAGGGTCAAGAAGAAATTTCAGGTGAAGGAACCAGAGTGTGGAGACACCCACATCAAATAGCCAAGTGATTAAAGCACTTGTCTGGGATTTGGGAGATCCTGTTTTATGTCCCTATGTCCCTGCTCGAAATCAGGGATAGTAGGGGTTCAAGCCTGGGTTTCCCACATCTTTAACCATGGTGCTATTACTAGTGGGGGATGGGCTACCTCTGGTACTTTTAAAAAATCCAAAAGCTCTCGTTTTCACTTTGATGCAAAACTAAAAAATAAATATCACAATCTCAAAATCATCCACAAAATGGAATTTTTTCTGGCCAGTCCTACTTCTAACCTTCCTAGCTTGCTTATTTCAAGGTGTACACTCTCAGGCTGTCTGCCACATTGCTAAGGAGAATCTCTCTGCTCTTTTCTCAGATTTAGCCTTCTCCCTGATTTCAAGCTCTCCAACAGCCCTGGCTCTGAGGCACAGTCTTCGACCGTGCAATCCCAGGATTTAGTCCCTTCATCTTGGTGGCACAGGGGGCAGCTCTGACCTCCTTAAAGGTCCAGCAAATCCTGTGTTCACTGTTAACCCGAATTTAAAGGAATTATGATCTAGAGAAGGGGTTCTCAAACTTCATTGCACCATGACCGCCTTCTGACAACAAAAATAGCTACAGGACCCCAGAGAACCAAAGTCTGAGTCCTCCCGAGCTACGCCACCCCAGACAAGAGACCAAAGTCCAAGAGCTTCACCTCCAGGCAGGTGGCCTATAACCAGAGCCCCACCACCAAGGGCTGAAGCCATGGGGATTCTGCTTTGGGCCCAAATGGTGGGGATCAGGCTTTTGCCATGGGTCCCAGTAAGTCTGAGTTTTAGTCCTGATGACTTCACTAAAATGGGGTCCTGACCTACAGTTTTTTGAACTGGTGATCTAGATAAACAGAGATCAGATAAACTGAATGATTAATAACTGTTCCTTGTGATATAAATTCAGTGATGTGAACTCCGTATTTCTTATATAGAGGTTCTTACCGTGTTTTAGGACATACAATGATTTAGACAAGCAAGAGAATTCAAAGTTATGAATAATCAAAAATTCCACAAAGAAAATAACAAAACAGGCACAATACATTGTGTGCATTAAATTACAATCTCTTCTGTGCTATGTACCTCATGAAGAGCTTGCAGCGGAGATTACACCCAAGAGATCCAGTTCCTGTATATGGCACCCTCTTTTACATGAGCTGAAACCAAGTGAATTAATTCCTGAGATAGATCTTGTTTAATTACTGTAGATATTATGGTTATTGATTACAAAGGGAAGTTTGTTTAAAATTCAGTCAGTACCACATGGGTTATCATAAATATAACAGCTAATAAATGGGCAAAGTTACGTGAACTTGATAAGCTCTACGAAATAGAATATTAGAAGACTGAAGTTGAAAGAGATCATAGGAAGACATCTAGTCCAATCCCCTGGTTGAAGCAGGATCAACCCCAGCTAAAACATCCCACTCAGGGATTTGTTAAGATGGGCCTTAATAAACTGAAAGAATGAAGAGTCCAACACCCTAGAAAACCCATTCCAATGCTTTACCAACCACCCTCCTAATGAAATAGTTTTCCTAATATCCAACCTAGACTTCTCTCACAGCAACTTGAGACCATTGCTCCTTTTGCAGTCATGTGCCACCACTGAGAACAGCCTAGGTCCATCCTTTTGAGAGCCCCCCTTCAGGGAATTGAAGGCTGCTATCAAAACCCTCCTCACTTGTCAGGTGCTCTGGTCCCTCCACTCATTTTCATCACCCTCCCTCCACTGGATGCTATCTAATTTGTCTACTTCCTTTCTGCAGTGGGGGGCCCAAAACTGGATGCAAAACTGGATGTGGCCTCAACAATGCTGAATACAGGGGAATAATCACTTTCCTAAGTCTGCTGGCAATGCTCCCACTAATACAGCTCAATATACAAGGACATACTATTGACTCATAAACAGCTTCTCATCTACTGTAATCCCCAGGTTCTTTTCTGCAGAATTGCCACTTAGCTATTTAGTCCCCAGTCTGGAGCAGTGCCTGGGTGCCAACTTTCAAAAGTGCTGGGGAGCCCCAACTCTAAACCCCAACTCTGCCTGAGGCCCCACTCCTTCCCTACCTTTTCCCTGCCCACCCAGGGTCCTTGAGAATGCTACATCCTCACTGCTCCCCACTTCATCCCAAAGCCTCCCAAATGCCATGAAGCAGCTGATTGCTATGGGCAGGAGGCATGGGAAGGCACTAACCAATGGCTGGGAGGCACTGGGGAGAGAGAAAGGAGTTGCTGGTGGGTGCTTGGCACCCATCAATATTGGGAACACTCATGTAATCTGTACCTATGGATTCTTCCATCCTAAATGCAGGATTCTGCACTTGTCGAACCTCGTCAGTTTTCTTTTAATCCAATCTTCCAATTTGTCTAGGTCATTTCTAGCACAGTTTGGCCATGTGTACAGATAATCTCTCTTAGAATTAGAATTGGTAGGTTGAACCAAAACCCTCAGTACAAATTCATTATCTTGCAGAAATGTGGATCCATATCTGAACTTTGCAGTTCAGCCAATATCTCTGATTGGAATATTTCATTCAGAGTAAAGATAAACTCACACATAAGCAACAGAGTTGGGCAAATAATTCAACTGATTTTCTTCATTCATCAGTTTAAAACAATTAAAACAATATGCACCCATATTTGTACCCTCTTTTAATTTGCTTTCCACAGACATCCAGGCAATCAGTTTTTACTTCCACACAAGTTTCTGGAAAGCCAATTTCAGTCACATGCACAAATATCTGCTGAAATTTTAAAGTTGCATATGCAATTTTTGGCCTCATCTGACCAAGACACAGAAATAATAAATTGTGATTGATCTGACTGATCACAGTTAACCAAGAAACGTTAAATAATGAAAATCACATGCTCATTGAGCACTGTTAGGGTATGTGTACACTACAGGACAAGGTTGAATTAAGATACACAATATCAGCTACGTTAAATGAGTAGCTGAAGTCGAAGTCCATTAACTTGACTTTTGGCGCTGTCCACACTGCAGGAAGTCGAAGGGAGATCACTCGTCCTTTGACTTCTCTTACTCCTCATGGAAGCAGAACTACCAGCATTGATCAGAATGCCCCTCACAGGTCAAATTAGCTGTCTTAACTAGACCTGTTAATTCGAATTTTGGAAGATTGACAGTGGCAGCTTTGATCTTCTCTGTAGTGTAGACATACCCTTAATGATCAGTCCATGGAATCTAACTAAAACAATTCACTGAATAATTTCCAGTAATAAATAAATTGAAGGAATTTGCTATCTGTTCATGGATATTCTGTGAGCGAAAAAACAAACAAAAAAAGGGGGTTAGGTTCATCAGATAAGTTATTCACTGTAAATGATTTTCTCTGCCCTAGTAAACACAGTTAAACTCTGATTCTAAACTAGGGTAAATGGGGCCATGGGAATAAAGGCAATGATGACGTTAGTCTCTTGGCAGGTATGCGACACAGCTGGGCAACTTCTTATTTTTTATTTCACAGAGTACAAATGACAGTAACTTTCTCTGCAGTCTTCCAGGCAGAGGGTGATAATTATGGAAGGCTGAAGAGTTGGGAATGGGAAAGGACAAAGAAAGGCAATGAGAACACTCACTCAAAAATAGGGTAGCTTACAAATATGAATATGTATAAACCAGTATTCTAAGGCCTGGAACTTACTGCCATATACAGTTATAGTCCCTTAAATAGTCATCCCTTTTTTCCTCTCTTCCAAAACAGAAAAGAATGAAGAAGAAGAACAGGAAGCCAGGAGGGAATTAAAACGCAGACTCAGCAGAAAGGTGATAAAACATTTTATGTGTAGGATACTTGTGGGAATAATAAGGGACAAGATTTTCTCTCTGTACTATTCTGAAGTATAATAATACATACTGGCAAAATTCCCTCTCCCGTCTCCATTTCCCCATAATGTGAACTCTGTTAGAAAACCAGAAAGGACTAAAATAATCCTTGGTGTAAACCCAATATTTCTAATTTTCCCTAATATGTTTAGAAGGCTGAATTGTATCTTTGAAAGAAATGTGGAGCCTGATTGTGGTTAGCCTTTGCAAGTGTGTTCAGGAGGACAAGGGGGAAAGGAGTACCAGTTTTCCTGAACTCACATGCACACACCCATGCAATCCCATCTATAGGTATTTGCCTCTTGGAAAATCCATGAGTTAGGTGAGTGCTGAAAAAATGTTGGGGTCCTAAACAGCCTGCAGGATTATCCCATACACAAGCCTGTGAAGCTTGCCTATCACAGATGGAAGCTCATACTGAATTCTTCTCATCAGGATTGTCCCCATTGAAGTCAGTGGTAAATTGGTAAAAAAATTCCCACTGATGTCAGTGGTAGCAGATAGAAAATTCCGCCCACTGTGTCTCAGGCTACGTCTAGGGTGCATCCCTCTGTTGACAGAGGGATGCAAATCAAGCATGTTGAAATTGTTAATGAAGCCGGGATTTAAATATAGAATCATAGAATCATAGGACTGGAAGGGACCTCAAGAGGTCGAGTCCAGCCCCCTGCCCTCAAGGCACTTCATTAGCATAAACATGGCCTCCGCTTTTTTTTTTTTAAACAAAGCTTTTTCAGAAAAAAAAACAGCAGTCTAGATGCAGATCTGTCAAAAATAAACTCTTTTTTGACATGCTGTACAGGCAGTCCCCGACTTACGCGGATCCGACTTATGTCGGATCCGCAGTTACGAACGGGGCTCGCCCTGAAGGACACGGACTGCGGGACCTCGCGGTCCTGCCGCCCGTGTACTCCGGGGCTTTCTCCGCATCTCCCTGGTCGGGGAAGCTGGCAGCGGAGCAGCCCAGGGAAACCAGGGAGCAAAGCTGCTCTGCCACAGGCGTCTGGAGAAAAGCCTAGTCTGCTGGGGGGGGGCGTACTAGCTGCGCCCCCCACCCCCACTCCAGCAGACCAGGGATACTGGGAGCAAAGCCGCGGAGGACCCAGGCAGTGGGACCGCGGTGCGTCTCGGTCCGCCGCCCGCGTCTTCCTGGTCTGCTGGGGTGGGGGGGGCGCAGCTAGTATGCCCCCCCCCCCAGCAGACTAAGCTTTTCTCCGGACGCCTGGGGCAGAGCCGCTGGGGGGCTGCCGGGTGGGCCCCGC